CCCCAAAACCCCAAAACCCCAAAACCCCAAAACCCCAAAATTAAGGGATATAATTGATTTTTGAGCAAAATATTATTCCAATATGAGTCGACAGGAGTCTTTTGATCAGATCGAAGAAGCTGGGAGTGGCCTTATTCGGAATAAATCGTCTGGATTGCTTCAGATTTTCTAAAACTCAAAGGAAATTAGCCATTTACAGGAGCTCACTATACAACATGAGCCTGAAGAAAACCAGTTTCATAATATTCTTTATGGATACTCCTTAATGATGCTATCCGTCTTAGGAATCACAACAATGCATGTCTGAGAGAAAATGGCCTTTTATTACAATCCTGAGTTGACGAGTTTAGATGGAGTGCTAATTCTAGGGTTGACAATGCTACCTATTACTTTCATGACAAACAAGTCTAAAGGTGTGACTATCAATATTTTTAAGTATGAAAGAAGGGTCCAAATTGCAATGGCTTTTGCCACCTTGTCTTCTTGAAGTGTTAATTTCTTCACAATGTGGGGACTATCATTAATCCCTGTGGGTAAGGGAACCCTGATTTTCAGCTTGCATCCTCTTTTTTGCATCTTAATTGCCTTTATTTTCTTGAGAGAGCGTGCCGAGGTTGTTTCAATAATCTCCTCTCTTTTAGCTTTTATTGGGATATACTTTTTGACGATCAACCAAACAGACTCTGATGGAGAAGAGAACCCAAATGCATTTCTTGGAATTATTCTGGTGTTCATAGCTGCGTGGAATGAATCGTGAATCATTATTGGACAAAGAGCATTAGCGTTATACTCATCTTTTGGACTTACGACACTTAGTACTTTAGTGTTGATAATATCACCTAGCAGTATGATCTTTCCAAACTACGGATTCCTTGACCTGCTCTTCTGTATGATGGTAGGAATTGGATGAATAGCATGCCAAGGGTTCATTGGATGGGCTCTAGAATACCAAGACTCATCAAGACTGGCTCCAATGAATTACTTTGAAAATGTGTTCACCTTACTATCAGATGTATTCATATTTGGCTATGTGTTTGTGATGACTGATTACACTGGGATTGCAATCATCACAGTTTGACTGTGCACTCCTGCTTTCCTTAAGCTATGTTTCACGAGTAAATAATTCAGCACTCCAAAGCTATACTTCCTGATTAATATTGCTTAGACTGATATCATTCAATAGAAGCCCTTAATCTTGGGGTTTTGGGGTTTTGGGGTTTTGGGGTTTTGGGG